GGTTCTGTTTGCTTTGTCACTGTGCTCCTCCTTCCCAAACTCCCTGGCAGAATTTTCCTCCTGCTCTTAGAACACACTCCAAGAGATCATAAAGGACTCTCCTCTGCAAGAGGGAAAACCCCTGCAGGACTTTAGCCTTATGCTCCCTCAGGTTATTAAATGACCAGAGTAGAGACTTATTAACTGGTTCTCAGCCTTTCTTAAAGCCTTGCTTTGTCACTGTGCTCCTCCTTCCCAAACTCCCTGGCAGAATTTTCCTCCTGCTCTTAGAACACACTCCAAGAGATCATAAAGGACTCTCCTCTGCAAGAGGGAAAACCCCTGCAGGACTTTAGCCTTATGCTCCCTCAGGTTATTAAATGACCAGAGTAGAGACTTATTAACTGGTTCTCAGCCTTTCTTAAAGCCTTAAAATACATCATGAAACCGAGTGAAGAGCATTTTCCAGATCCTGATAACAGAATAAGACAGCTGCTTTCAAAAGGTGAAGCTCTGGAGGCTGTGAGGACAACTTTAGGGGTAGAGGACAACTCTTTAGAGATAGAAATTAGTTCTTTTGTCCCCACTTGTGTACCAGAAGCAGTAGAATTCCCATTATGTCTGGGTCTGTGATTCCTTTCAATCACCCACAACTGTTGTAGAGCTATTGTTGGTCCCGGAGCATTTGTTGTGTTCTGGCCAATGCTGCTATCAAGGTGGTGAGAGGCTGATCTCAGAAGGAGCATCATCATTTCAGGTGGTGTACAGATACACTATAATCAATGGGTCCTCTTCTTCAGAGCTTGTAGTGATCAAATTACAAAGTAATTTAAATCAGAAGGGATAAGATCAAGTTTCTCAAAGCCCTGTTCAGTCAAGTTTTGACTAACCCTAAGGGTGGAACTCCTACCACCTCTCTGGGATCCTGTTCCAGTGTTTGACCATCCTTATGGTGGAAATGTTTTTCCAAATAAATGCTAGATTCTAACAAGAGATAGAATTATTGGTAAATTAATTGCTCAGACCTTGGTACTCCCCAGCAATAAGTCATTGCAGGAGGCTTGAACATTGTCTCCAAGCTGTGGAGTCATACAGTGCCACTTCTCCTAGGTAGGAGCTGGGATGACCAACACAGGATGACAAATTCCAGAAGTGACAAGCAAAGGGTTAATCACAGGATGACAGGATAAAAGTGCCACCACTTTTACGACATTCAGCTTCCTCTAGCAGGAGGGACAACTTAAAAAATTCTGGGTTCCGCCTGAGCTCTCCTTTCCTGCCCGTGACGGGGGAGGCATTTAGAGCCTGCTTTGGTAATGAATTAGATACAATTATTAGAGACCCATTAAGGCAAAATAATTATTGCTTTTATTATTGCTATTGTTGCTGAAGAACCTACAGCAGACCATGCCAGGCCAGGTCCTACACAAATGCAGGACTGAGAACTATCTCTGCCCTGAGGAGAAAGAGGGAAGGGCTCAGCCCAGAAAAAGTACTTAAGTACATATATAAATGCATTTGTGGGACTTGTTCCCTTAGAGATCATCACCAATCACACATGAAAATTTGGATGCTGAAGGGTTTGCAGCTCAAAGTTTGGCTGTGCCAAACCAGACCTTGGCAGTGGCTAAGTGACCACCAAAGTGCGATGGGCAGATGAGAACCAAGACAGGGAGACAGAGGGGTAGAAAGGTCATTTAACCATTTCCAAGAGTGTTTGCTCTTTGTGGAAGTGCAATATCTTGCATCACTTCAGTTATTCTTTGTAAATTGATCAGAAGGGATCCACAGGTCACTTGCCATCTTATGGGCTTGGCTGGAGAGGTTGCAATCAGGAGGAGCTCAGGAATATTGCAAGGGAGCTTTAAAACCAATCAACAACTCCATGTAACATTGAAGCTGTGACTATGTCAGGGTTGATGTTTTGTTTTGCTTTTTTTTTTTCCTCCCCATGTTAAAAGTTTGAAGTTTCCCAGGTCATCTGGGAAGGTCTCATGGAAACAGACACTTATTTGTAAGGGGGAGAGGGAAACCAACCAACGGAACAAGCTGTAATTATTTAAAGATGTAAAAAAATATCTATTATGAAGTAGTATGGCTACCAACCCACGTAACTTCTACACCTTTAGAACTAATGGAAATAAAACAATGATAATAAAACTAGAAGGTTTCTGCTTGCCTCTGTCTACCCTCGTGGGCTTCTTGGAGAGGGCTGGGGGTAAATTATCACATATGAAATGCACCCAGAGAAGAAGTGGTGCAGTGGGTCCTGTCCCAGGGAGCTCAGAACAATTGGATTACAGAGTAATTTAAGTCAGAAGGGATGAGATCAGGTTACTCAGAGCTTTGTTCAGTCAAGTTTTGAGTATCCCCAAGGGTGGAAATCCTACCACCTCTCTGGGTTCCTATTCCAGTGTTTGACCACTCTCAGAAGCAGCTGGAGCTCTACAGGTGATAAGTTCCCTGGGATCTGAGCTTTGGGCTGTGTGAGCCGTCCCCGGGGCTCATTCTGTGCTGCCTGACATGAAGTCAGTGCCTGGATAGTTGGGGCAGACCCTTTGAATGACCTGTGACCAGTGGCCAAATGCTGGTGCCTTTGGCTGCATGAGTATGTCTTTAGCTGTCCCTTGATCACCATTATATGCATTTTTTTTGGTGAAACTGGAGCAGACCTGTGAATAATTACGGTTTGATCACCATCATAGAAACATAGAATGTTAAGCGGTTGGAAGGGACCTTAAAGATCATCTAGTCCCAATCCCCTGCTCTGGGGAGGGACACCTCCCACTTGATCAGGTTGCTCAAGATTTTATCCAACCTGGCTTTGAATGCAGCCAGGGTTGAAGCATCCACTACCTCCCTGGGCAACCTGTGCCAGTGCCTCACTACCCTCACAGGGAAGAATTTCTTCCTAACAGCTAACCTAATTATTATTTCCTCTCTTTCAATTTGTACCCATTACTCCTTGTCCTATATAAATGCCTTACATAATAAATGGCAGATTAAAATGAGAGGCAAAATCTTTAGTAAATTAATTGCTCAGATCTGGAGACTCCCAAGCAATGAGTCATTGCAGAAGACTGAATGTTGTCACCAAGCCCTGGAGTCACAGGGTCCTACAGCCAGTAGGAGCTGGGACAGCCAACACAGGATGACAAACACCAGAAATGACAGATCCAGCAATGGAATAATACGATAGATGGGGCTTGGAGCAACCTGGTCTAGTAGAAGGTGTCCCTGCCTATGGCAGGGGGTTGGATTAGATGACCTTTAAGGTCCCTTCCAACCCAAACCATTCCATGATTCTGTGATTTTAATACAAAGGAAGCAAAACACTCAATGTGTTTTCCATGCAGCAGGTTACCCCTCTAGTACAGTGGAGAGGGGAAAAGCCCCTGGGGGCACTTTAAAACCATTATGACTTAGCTTTTAGGTATTCTCACTAACATTGTTTCATGTAGTAAGCAGCTGATCAGCCTAAATGCTTCCAGCTGAGCTCAGAGGCAACACCCTCAAGTCAAAATCACCTTGTCAGCAAGGGCTGTGCTCCTGCAGAGAGTGGAGGAGAACACTTCTCCTACAAGGACCCAACCTTTTGCCCACGTGCCTAGCTTCCTTCCCAGTCTGACCAGTTCCTGGAGACCATACAACTGGTGGGGTGAGTGAGGTCAGTGCCTGAAACCCACCCATTCCTCCCCCACCAGCCAACTGGGGAGCTCCCTTGCTATTTGGAGGGGAGAAGGTCCTCCTCCATTATAAAAGCAGGTGGGTGGAAGGGTTTTGGCTGCAGAAGGTCCTGTTGAGGGTGGGTAAAGGTGCTGTGGGAGGTGGTTGGGGACTGAAGAAGGGCTGGGAATCATGGAGGAGCAGAAGGGTGCAATGAAGTAGGAAAGGAAGCTGCATGGCCTGTATAGAATGGGCCCAGGGAGAGCAGTGGCTTAAAAGCTGGATGCAGGAATGTGGGTTCTGGGGAGAGGGCAGTGGGTGCCTCCACTGCCCTGGGGAGATGTGGGTGAGAATGGGGTGGGGTCTCAGGGCTTGATTTTTTGGAGAGCTGCAAATTGAGGCTTGGCTGAGTGTGAGAAGCTGGGGATCTCTGCACCCCCTCGATTCCATGTGGAGGGTCAGGGCTGTGCCTTGATACCCCTGCAGGAGCCTTGTACAGGGGTCTAAGGTCACAGTGGGGCTTTCTGTGGTCCCTGGGTGCAGGGGAGCTGGCAGAGCTGGGTTGAGGCCTTGTCCTTGTTCTGTCCCACTGTGAGTGCTTGGCTTCTGTCTGAGCACGAGGACTGGAAATGAGCCCATACAAGGGGAAGATTTATCCCAAAGCCCCAGACCTGTAGGGGTACCAGCTCAGGTGGTTATGTTCCTGGAGACATGGGTGTGATGCCTTGCAGGCTGGGACTGGTTATCCTCCTCTTCCTCCTTGGAGAGGGGAGTGTTTTGGAAAAGACTGAAGTAAATCTGGAGGAAAAAGGTGAAGTAGGGAGGTACATGGAGAGAAGGGGATCAGAGAGCAGATGCTGGATCTTCTCATGGCCTGGGGAGCAGGACAGTTTCTTCTCTTGAAGAGAACAGTTACTCTGCTGTCAGAGGGGCTACAGCTAGGGAGGGTATGTGCATTAACACCTTACAGAGTGCCCAGCACCTCTAGTCTGTCCTAACAGGCCCCTTGAAAACTGAATCAGCAGAAGTCAGTTCTGCAGGTGATGAGCTTCCCTGGGCCCTGAACTCTGCCCTGTGAGCTGATCCTGTGGCTCATTCTGTGCTGCCTGATACACAGCACCTGGATAGTCGGGACAGACCCCTCAAATAACCTTTGATCAGTGGCCAAATGCTGCTCCCAGGGATCCAAACTGCTACTGGTGCCTTTGGTAGCATAAGCATGTCTTCACTTGTCTCTTGAGCTGCCTCTTTGATCTTCACTATATGCATATTTTTTGGTGAAACTGAAGCAGACCTGTGAATAATTATCTCATGCCCTTGGAGACCAAGGACTAAAGCTCAGTCTTTTTCTCCTGGTAAAGCTACTTTGTATGACCACTTAAAATCTGGATCTAAGACATTAAATTAATGTTCTTTTCTTCTTGAGCTCTTCCAAAAGCAATTTGGTTTGTGCTGCAGCACAGGAAAACTTCTAGAGCCATGCTGCCTTGCCCTTCCTGTTGAGAGTGTATCCATACCTTGCTGCTCCTCACAGCCATGCCAAGGATTGTCCCCTTGCTGTGGCAGGAGCGCGTGGCACTGGAGGCTTTGGTTTTACAGTCACTTTTAGCTGATGCAAGTGTGGGCTGCTGTCTCTAAGCCAGCCCAGATAGCAGCTGAGATGTGGCCATGAGGTGGGAATGGCTCATGAGGTGGGGAATCATGCACAGGATTGCTGTCGATTTGCACTTCAAGCTGTCTCAGAGCTATGCCAGTCATCTCAGAGCCTTGCACTGAATGCTGTGGAGCTTAAAGCTGAGCCTCTGGTCAGTGCTGGTCTCAGGGATGGACAGTTGGCACTGTGGGATGAAATCCAAACTGTCCTTTTCTTGTCCTGGAGTCTGCTTTCTTGTACAGCCAGTCTTGGCAGGAGTCAGAACTGCAAGTGACTGGGATTTCATGCCAGAAATAACTCCTTACGTACTGGTGTAACTTCCTGGAGGGAGCTACAGGATGCTGTAGGATGGTGCTGCTTCATCTCCCCCTCATCCAGAGTCTTCTGATCCCAGATGCTGCTAGTAGAGTGTAGGAATGCTCACTAACTGGTTTTGTGCTCTTGCAGTCAGTGGGGCAATCACTGGGTAAAGCAAGGGGCAGGGATGAGCAAATTCCAGTGCTGATCAGGGAGCAGCACTTTCCATGGTGGCTATATCAGGAAAAAGATGGCTTACTGGCCTATGCTGGTTCTGGGCCATTCATCACAGGACCATAGAATGGTTTAGGTTGTGAGGGACCTTAAAGATCATCTAGTTCCAAACGCCCTGCTATGGGCAGGGAAACCTTCTTGCTACCCTAGGAAAAAAAAGACTTCTTGAGATCCCCAGGCCACATTTCTGCTTGTGGGGTGAAAAACTACCATTAGAGCAGGTTGTTCTGAGCTGTGTTTGATTAAATTATTAATATCCCCAAGGATGGGAACTCCTCCACCTCCCTGGGCCTGAAAGAAGCCTATTTATCTTCATGGACTTTGCCACAGGGACTTGAAGAGATTGTGTCAAGCTCAGTCTCTGACTGGTTTTGTGTATTTCTCAGTTGCAACTTCCCTTCAAGTCTAGGGCACCAAGTGTGAGAAGGACCTGCTAATCCCTCAACAGCTGTTGGAGATGCCAGAGGGCCCATCAGTGAGGAAGTTTCAGCTGCTGACCTCCCCTTTTGTGGGACAAGTGGTGACTAAGGTGGGGGGAAACAGCCGGAAGATCAATGTGAATGCCCTGAATGCCCTAAGGCTCCAGGACTCCCAGGTGAGCTGAACTAAAGATGAACTTACTGATCTGTGACAAGTCTGAGGTAAACCACCATTGTCCTGCATCTGGGTCACAGAAAATGGAGAATCTGAGAATGTTTCCCTCAGGCTTTCACCTGGCTAGGCTGAGATGTCTCTGTTGTGGGTACTTGTGAGATAAGTCACACTGGGTCACTCCTTCTGGGGACTTCACTAGCCTGACATCCCTCAGATGATGATTTGGACCTGACTGGCCAAATGCTAATCTGATGATAAGATAACGTGATCTGGGGCACAGATGTGAGCTGCTTAAAAGTTAGTTGTGGCTGTCCTGTGTCTTCAGAGTCACTCTTGAGTTAGGTCACCCTAGTATGACACACTTAAGGCCAGCACCAAGTAGGGAGGCAAATGAGAAGCAGTGGTGACAGATTTCAGAACCCTGAGGGGCTGTTATGGTGTGTCTCTTTGGCCTGATTGGAGCCTCTGGGAATAGCATCTGACCACCTTGTGCTTCATATAGACAAGGGATGCTGTGAGAATGACAGCAGCTCTGATGGGAATGGTTTGGACGCTAATGGCTCCAGTGTTCAGGGTGGGGTGATGTGCCCTCTAAAAGAGGTTGTGGAGAACAGTGACTGGTATGGAAACAGCCAGATGTTATATCCCTGTAAGTGTTCAAGGCCAGGTGTGAGCAACCTGGTCTAGTGGAAGGTGTCCCTGCTTATAGCAGGTGGGTTGGAACTAGGTGATCTTTAATGTCCCTTCTAGAATTCTAGGATTCTGTGATCCTATATGGATCAACAGTACATACCACCTCTTTTCTCAGGTTCATGGGAAGAACTTGTACCTGGCATTTGTGGCAACTGAAGGTCCCTTAGGACCAACTGCAGATGAAAAAGTGCTGCAAAGAGAGGCTGCTAGTGGGGCATGTTCTCTTGCCCAGGGAGGGCAAGAACAGCTTTCTGCTCCATATCCCCAGGATGAGGAGCTGCAGGAGCTCCAGCACTCAAGATCTGAAGCCTCAGATGCAGCAGAGGGTCCAAGCAACTGGTTGCGCTTCCACTTTGGCTTGTTTGGCAGCGTCCGGGCAAATGAGTTCTCAAGAGCAAACAAAGCCAACAAGAGGGGGGACTGGAAGGACCCTGCACCCAGGTATTTCAGGGAATCATCTCTCCCTGCCTCTCGTTCTGGAGAGGTGCTCTTCTGTCTCAAACTAAATTTGTGTGTGGATGCTCTTAACCTTGATATTCTCTCATAATTCCTATGGCAAGTAGGCACAAGAGATGGCATGAGTGGCTGTGGGGTGTGTTCAACCAGGGGATGTGCAGTGAGCTTTGCCTGCCAGCCTGGGGATCATAGTGCCAGCCCCATTCAGATTTTTATCTCAGAGAGAACATTTCGGTTGCCAGACTGAATCATGCCCTAAAAATGCCAGTTCCTCCCAATTATGTGTTTAAAAAAAGCCTTGAGTAAATAGCATACATCTAGAGCAGCTGGAGTCACAGGCTGGAGAGATGCTGTTGAAAGCAGCACTGCTTTGAAAACGTGGCTACAGTCTGCGTCCTAAGTCCCACTGGAAGTGAGAACAGGTTGTCCAGAGAAGCTATGGCTGCACTATTCCTGGAAGGGTTCCAGGCCAGGTTAGATGGAGCTTGGAGCAAACTGGTCTAGTGGAAGATTTCCCTGTCCCTGGCAGGGGGGTTGGAACTAGATGATCTTTTAGAGGCTGCTTCCAACCCAAACCATTCAGTGATTCTATGATTTTGAAGGATTGCTTTATTTCTATACCAGTATTTTTAGACAGTTTTGAGTGCTACTTTTGGCATTGGTTTCCTGAGCCCTTGGTGATTTAGGGGCCACAGGATGGCAGAATAAACAACTGCCCTCAAGTCACGTGGGTTCACCAAGTTCTGCGGCTGAAATCATTAAGGGAGGCCTGGTGCATAACTTAACAAATGGTTGAGGGATGTTTCTGATGAGACCACTCAACTCCTCTGCTTCTTCCAGGCTGGTTCTTCACTTTGAGAGTGAAGGCTTCCTCGTTTTCTACAACTGCCGAATGTGCTGGTGCTCTTCTCCACGGGCTGATCCTGCTTCTGACATCCTGTCCACGGAGTTCCACCGTGGCCGAGCACTGGATGCCCTCCGTGCACCCCATCCCATCTGCTACACCCTCTTAGACCAAAGATATTTTTCAGGGCTGGGTGAGTTCTGGGGAACAGTGGCAGAACAAGAAATGGAGGAAGGTGGGTGGGATGTCTGCACATCCAGAGCTGCATGTCTGAGAGTTTTACTTCTTCACCTTGTGGCTTCTGGTTGATCCAGCTGAGGGGATTTGGTCATTTTCAAGGTCTGCTTCAAGGGTAGAGGGAAGAGAACGTCTTTCAGTCCAACCCCAGCTCCAAGTCTACTATTTGTATGCCACCTCTGATACAGGGGATGACATTGCTAGCTGTGATCCTTGAGGCAGAAGTCACAGATTGGAGCCAGAGGTCTGCATTATCTTGATTAGAAATATCTATGTCTCTTCAATACTTGTCCTTTACAGGAAATATCATTAAGAATGAGATCTTGTACCTGGCCAAGATCCATCCATTGACAGAAGGCTCTCTCCTGGCTCTCTCGGATCTGGAGCATCTGCTCGACTGTGCCATTCAGTTCAGCTCTGACTGGCTGCATAGCAAGCTGCGTGGCCAAAGGCTGCACCCCCAGATCTACCAGAAGGACCAGTGTCCCCTTGGGCATCCAGTGATGAAGGGAACTCTTGGACCCTCAGGTGGCTTTAAGAGACTTACGTGGTGGTGTCCTCAGTGCCAGCCTGTCATGTTGTCACGGGATGGGGATCCTTCCCCAGTCACCCAGTGACCTGGCTTTGCCTTCCTCCTTTCCAGGAGGATGCTAGCTGGTCCCTGAACCATGCTGTTGAGGTCTTTGTGGTTTCTTTGAGGTTGTTGAGTTTGGTCCTTAAGGACAATAAGTTGGCAGAGTGAAGTGTACAGTGGGGGTTACAGTACTCAGTGCAGCACCGAGTGCCTCTGGATGCAGAAAGTAAAGTGGTTGCACGCCTTTTGTCACAGTGACACAATAGTGTAAAGAGTTTGGCCAGTTCTGAGGTGTTTTGGTCACCCTGTTCAGATCACAGTGGATGGGAAGTGCAGGGTGTTGAGTAGGTGATTGCTGTGATCTGAAGTGCCCCTATCCCTTGACCCAGTGTGGATGCAATGGAGTATATCACTCTGCCTGAACAGCTTGATTAATTCAATTAATTATTATAATTAGTATCTAATAACTAAGCATTAGCTAATCCTGCCTCTGTTGTAGCTGAACACCTGTGTGCTGGGCTGGGCTGCAATAAGGTGTGGTGAAAAGCGAGGGGCTGTTCCCTCTGTCAGATCTTAAGGGAACAGTTCCTTCCTTCCAAGGGGACAAAAACATACATCAGTAGTGCTTGGTGGAGCTCATCTCTGCATCCACATGTTGCAGCTTTCTGGCAAATTGCCAATTCCAGAGCTCACTGTAAAAGTATTTTAAAAAATTAAATATACTCTGTGTGACAGGGATTGCATAAAACTCAGGATCTCCAAGGAAACCTGAGAGCAGAAAGGTTTGGAAATAGAGATGATGTGGTCCCTTCTTTGTTGAACTTAGTATACTAGGCAGGGGTTGCTGCTGTCCTCAATCTCTGGATTTGGGTTTATTTTAACAATAGATTATTGACTTAAGTGAAAATTAAAAGCTGGAGTTAGAACTGGTGATGTTCAGTGTGTCTTTTCTGATAGTTTCTTGGATAAAAACTGAGGTGTACAGGGAAATTCCAGCTGCCTATGATTGATTAACAGCAACCTCTGCAGCCTGTAGACAATGGTACCAGCAGCTTTTGTCAGCAGTGTAAGGGCTGTCTTTCATGGGAATTGGATCAACAGGTGGATTGCAAATTAGCCGGGAATGCTACAAGTAAACACTTCCATGATAGGCTGCTTCCCAGTCAAGACTTGCACAGCCCTTACTCTGTGAACTGGGACACCCTGGAGTGGTTGCAGGTTATGGGATTACTGAGTAAACCAATTAATGGGATTAGAGTGCCAAAGGAGGTGGTTAATGTCCCTTCTTGAGTGTGTCCTTCAGGGTGTCACTGAAGGCCCGGAAATGACGCAGAGTAATTCCAGTGCCCTTCCAAAACAAGGAAGCACCCACAAAAAATAAAAACCCCAAAGCTGAACCTTGAAGGATGAGGTATCTCAGCTGGAAGCAATTGGGTCCTCAGCACAGGAAAGAAACAGACCTGTTGGAGCAAGTCCAGAGGGAGGTCATGGAGGTGCTCCAAGGGCTGAAGCACCTCTCTTGTGGAGACAGAGCTGTTCAGCCTGGAGAAGAGAAGGCTCCAGGAAGATCTTAAAGCCCCTTCCAGTGCCTAAAGGGGCTCCAAGTGAACTGGAAAGGGACTTGGGACAAGGGCCTGGAGTGACAGGACAAGGGGGAATGGTTTCCCGCTGCCAGAGAGCAGGATTAGATTGGATATTGGGAAGGAATTTTTCCCTGTGAGGGTGGTGAGGCACTGGCACAGGTTGCCTAGGGAAGCTGTATCTGCCCCATCCCTGGAAGTGTTCCAGGCCAGGTTGGATGGGGCTTGGAGTAACCTGTTCTAGTAGAAGGTGTCCCTGCCTGTGGGTGGGGGTTGGAACAAATGATCTTGAAGGTCCCTTCCAACCCAAACCATTCCATGGCATAGGGCTGATGCCAGTGCAGTGCTAGCAGAGGTCAGAGGGTGATGCCTCATGGCATCACAGCAGGTTGAGATGATCCTGCAGGGACTCCAAAAGAGAAATGCTTCGGGGAGTAGGTGGGACAGTGACGTGAAACCAACAAACCAACCAACCCACCTCCACCTCGCCCTGGAGCGGCGAGGGCTTGGCTGCACTAGCGGCTGCCTGGGGAGAGGGAACGCGGAGGGGATGCAGAGGGGCCCTGGCGGCGGCGGATGCTGCGC